GAATGATGTACAAATGCGCTTTACACAATTGATGTGTGTATGGATTGCGATAACAGTTGTATGAGCCCCTAATAAAATGTTTTTTAAAAAAATTTTTTTTGAAAGATCTTTCTTCTTAATATTTTGACCTCCTCGTCAGAAATGCTACCCTGATTTGCAAGTCATATATCAAATAAACTTCCATCAATTTCTATTATTGGATTACTATAATGTTTACCTGAAGTGAAGGGTATTAAAATATATAAATTAGAAAATGTGAGGTTTGAAAAGAAAAATGTACAGCCATGAAAACATCATCACTAAACGTGTGTGTTTCTTCAGTCGATTCCAGTGAGCAGACTTCATAGTCACAGAATCGTCGCACGTCGAAGGTGGGAGCAGAATGCAAAGCTCGGAACCCAAGTCCTCACTTTATTCAGAAGGGGTTAGTGATTTCCCAAGTCCCATCCCAGGTGAGCAGCAAAGCCAAGGCTGGAACACAGCACTGGACTCTAGCCTCTCCGGTGACTACAGAACTACACACACTTCTATGACTCAGGTTAGACGTCAGCGAGCACAGATCCGCTCTTTTGACAGGAAATAGAACATTTTTAAGAATCAATGACACCTAATATAAAGAAACAACAAGAGCTACATATTTAAATGTTTTAATTATTCCAGAATATCTATTATGTCTTCAACAAATGACTGTGACAATCATGTGAAGAACGGTGATACATTGTTTAAAGAGATTTCTTATCATTTCTCCACTAGTCTTACTACTTTAATTTTCCGTATCAGCATCAGTGTGTTTTATATTCTCCATTGGAATTAGTAATCATCAGTCTCAGTGCTTATTCATCAAAGACAAATACATACCAGGTCGGGAATTCAACACCACTCTTTGTACAATCATGGCTTTCCTTAGGAAGTAGTCTCACAAGATTTCTGTACAAAATAATTCCTATAAATTGAGGGAAAGTTTAATCACAATCAAGTATTAAAATACACAATCATTTAAAAATGAAAAAGAAGCACATCTTAGCTTCTAAGTGAAGACAGGGTAGGTCACTTTTAAGACCCAAAGAAGATAACACTGTCCCATCAAAGTGTGTCTCCAGAAGCAAATATGTGAAGCAAGACTAAATCTAGTTAGACTTTTTGGATAATATCAACAGGTCAATAGAAGATTACCTGGGGCAAAATGCTCTTTGGCCTCAGATAATTCAAGCTCATTCATCTTCACATACTCATAATTAGGCCTCCTACTGTAGGTTGATCAAAAGGAAATGTCATATAGTCCTCCAGAGCTGGCCAACTGCCGTAATCGTAATCGCAAAATAAAAATGCTCACTCTGCTCACTAGTTCCCCACAAACTCCCAAACAGAGCTCTTGCGTTACAGCCATACGGTGACGTCCAACTCTCCTGCAGGTACTTTTTCCTCCAGGCGGGAAATTCTGCTCCTAAGAACTAAATGTCTGACGCTAACATCACTCAATAAAATAGAATGAAGAACATGGAAACACATCTGATCTGCTTCCTTGTTTTTTGTCATGTATGTTTATAACCTCATAGGTATGACAGAAATGGTTACTTTTCGCCGAGGTCCCCTCTCCACTGGACACAACTGTGGACAGCTGCCATGGAGTTGGCTCTGGCTCGTGGTGACCCTGCGGACAACCGAGCAAAATGCTGCCAGTCCGGAGTCACCTGCATGATCACCCATTTGCTGCCCTGTATTTTGAGAAGACTTCCAACTGAGAGGGCTCTTCTTCCAGCACTATATTGCACAATTCTGCTGTGGTCCAGGGTTTTCATTAGTTAGATTTTCAAAAATAGATCTCCAGGCCTTTCTTCCTAGTTTGAGTTTGGAAGCACTCCTGAAATCGGTCTGCCCTGGATGACTTTACTGCTATTTGGAATACTAGCATCACAGGAACATGCAAGGCACCATATTATGAAAAACCTGACAGATTGGTGATGGCTGGACTACATTCTTGTAGCCAAAGAGATTTGCTGGCTTCCCTGTAATAAAATTCTAGGTATGCTATTTCACTCAAAAGCCTTTCAGCTATACTGCTCTGATAAGAGACGATTTAAAACATAAACACCTCGTTGCACCTGTTGCTGTTGTTAGGTGCCATGGGGTACGTTCCAACCCAGAACAACCCTATGCGCACTAGAAAGAAGCACCACTCGGGCTTGTGCCACCCTCACCATTGTTGCAGTCATTGTGCCAATCCATGCCCTCCAGGGCCTTCACTTTACTAAGCATGGTGTCCTTCTCCAGGGACTGGTCTTTCTTGGCAACACGTCCAAAATATGTAGAACAAAGTCTTGTCATCCTTGCCTCTAAGGCAGCGGTTCTCAACCTGTGGGTCGAGACCCCTTTGAGGGGGTCGAACGACCCTTTCATAGGGGTCGCCTGATCCATAACAGTAGCAAAATGACAGTGATGAAGTAGCAACAAAAATAATTGTATGGTTGGGGGGGTCACCACCACATAAGGAACTGTATTAAAGGGTCACGAGGAAGGTTGAGAAAGGCAAATAACTTTCTCCATCTTATAAGAGGATTTAGGAAAGTGAAAAAATTTTTTAAAAGTGAAAAATCATAGCCAGTTTCTTTAATTATGAAGATTAAAATTTACAAGATAGCAGAACCATCACACCGACCAGAATAAACAGTGAAGCAAACTTCCCTCCTCAGTTTCAGAAGCAGACAGAAATGTAAAAAGTAAAGCCTGAGGAAAGGCGGTTTTAATTCTCACGGAATTCAGGTTTCTGGATTCCATGGAAATTGAGGTGACCCACTCAGGCTATTGCCAAGATGATCTTTGAACCCTGAACCCTGAAAACCTGGTTTCTTAAGAGTCACCTGTAAGTCAAAAGTCAGACTAGTTTGCCTTGGACATAATGAGTTTTTAAAGAACTATCTATATGCAGTACAGAAATTCCAAAGGTCGAACCAGAAGCTGTGTGCTAGGGAGAACTCTTATTAAGTAAACTCTCTCCTGGCCTGTTTCCATTTTTAGTCATCAAGTCATTTCCAACTCATAGCGACCCTACAGGACAGGGCAGAACTGTGTCTGTGAGTTTCCATGGCTATACGTTTTTATAGGAGCAGAAAGCCTCATCTTTCTCCTGAGGAACAGCTGGTGGTTTCGAACTGCTGATGTTATGGTTAGCAACCCAGCTTGTAAACCACTATGCCACCAGGGCTCCAGCCTGTTTTCATAGCGGTGTATAATTACCAGCAATAAGCTGGGGTATAAAATTTTTGAAAGATCAATATGACAAAATACCAATTTATAAACTATCAAGGGCTCATGAGGGAGGGGGAGCGGGGAGGGAGGGGAAAAATGAGGACCTAATGTCGGGGTTTAAGTGGAGAGAAAATGTTTTGAGAATGATGTACAAATGCGCTTTACACAATTGATGTGTGTATGGATTGCGATAACAGTTGTA